AATTTCCCGCCTTACCATTTTATAGAAGTCTTTCTTTTTCTCTTGCTGTATTTGATCTTATTCATTCTTATGTGTGGGGACCTTCCCCTATAACCACAAAAGGGGGGTCGCGATATTAAGTTTTGTTTATTGATGACTGCACTTGTTATTCTTGGGTTTATCTTATGAAACATCGTTTTGATTATCTTACTATTTTCAATAACTTCAGAGCTCTTCTAAAAACTCAATATTCGGCTATCATAAAGTGTTTTCGCTGTGATTTGGGAGGAGAATACACTTCTAATGATTTTTCTAATTTGCTTGCTTTCGATGATACTTTTCATCAAACTTCTTGTACATATACCCCCGAACAGAATGGTGTTGCAGAAAGGAAACATAGACATCTTGTTGAAACAGCCCGTTCTCTTTTATTATCTGTCGATGTTCCTAGTACATTTTGGGGAGAAGCAATTCTTACTGCTGCTCATTTGATTAATAGGATTCCAACCTCACACAATTTGGGTTTGTCACCCTTTGAGAAGTTGTATGGATATGCTCCTGATTATTTTTCCTTGCATGTTTTTGGTTCTACCTGTTTTGTCCTCCGACCTCATGTCGAGCGTAATAAATTGTCCTCCCGGTCTGCTTTGTGTTTCTTTCTGGGTATGGCGTAGGTCAAAAAGAATATCGTTGTTTTGATCCAGTCAGTCAAAAATTATGTATCTCGTCATGTCGTGTTTCTTGAGCATATTCCATTCTTTTCTATTCATGCTAGTTCTCGTAATATGACCAAGTCTGATCTTATTCGCATTGATCCCTTCACTATTGATACTGAAGAAACACCACCAGCTACTCTAGTTTTAGCTAATGCATCTTGCAAGTTTTCCACTGATAGCACAGTAGATTCTAGTACTTTGGTTCATGATACGCATGTTCCTCCTCATGCGGTTGCCCAATCATCTCATGAGACTATGGTTCCTCCTCCTATTCGCCGGTCTACATGCATTCGTAAGTCTACTAAGCTACCAGATTTTTCTTACTCTTGTTATTCTAACTCTTTTGCTTCATTTTTAGCTTCTATTCATCGTCTTTCTGAGCCCTTGTCATATAGAGAGGCTGTTCGTGGCCCAGTTTGGCAGGATGCTATGGCTGAGGAACTTACTACTCTGCATTAGACTCGTACTTGAGACTTGGTATCTTTACCACCAGGAAAATGAGCCATTGGTTCTCGTTGGGTCTACAAAATCAAAACTAAGTCCGATGGATTTATTGAAAGATACAAAGCCCAACTTGTTGCTAAAGGTTACTCTCAGGAGTAAGTCATGGATTATGAAGAGACTTTTCCCCCTGTTGCAAAAATGACTAATGTTCGTACGCTCATTGTTGTTACTTTTGTTCGTCGATGGCACATATCTCAGATGGTTGTCAAAAATGTCTTTTTGAATGGTGATCGTCATGACAAAGTTTACATGGAGCCTCCTCCTAGTGATTCTCACCAACCTGGTAAAGTCTGCAGGCTCTAAAAAGCCCTTTTATGGTCTCAAACAAACACCCCTAGCCTGGTTTGAGAAGTTCTCTACTGTGATTACTTCACTTGGTTTTCATCTTAGTCATCATGATTTGGCATCGTTTGTCAAATGTACTGGTGTAAGTTGTATTCTGCTCTCTTTATATGTTGATGATATAATTATTATTGTTGTTGATATTGTCGGACTTGTATCTTTAAAGTCTAAGTTAGCTCATTGCGTTGCAATGAATGATTTGGGCACGCTATGTTATTTTCTGAGCATTGAGGTCACCTTCCCTTCGAAAGGTTATTTTTTATCCCAGTCCAAGCATATAGCTAATATATTTGAGCGTGCATGTCTTACTGATAATAAGGTTGTTGATACCTGTTTAGACTAATGCCAACATGTTTACCAAGACGCACTCCACTTTGCATTTTCGTTTCTTATTTGGCAAACTCTCCATGCTTCTAGCAGTAGTATCGTGAGTTTGAAAGGGGATGTTAGATTATTTTATTATTTATTTACTTGTTTTTTATTATTAGTAGTTTTCCTATTTTTTATATTTTTGTATATTTCCTAGTGAGTCTATATAAACACACTTATTATGTAATTTCATTATTCAGTTTTATTGGAATAAGAAATCCTAGTTTTCTTAATTTCTATAAAAATAATTATACAAAGGTGAATTGTGTTCGATGGGGATGTTAGATTATTTTATTATTTATTTACTTGTTTTTTATTATTAGTAGTTTTCCTATTTTTTATATTTTTGTATATTTCCTAGTGAGTCTATATAAACACACTTATTATGTAATTTCATTATTCAGTTTTATTGGAATAAGAAATCCTAGTTTTCTTAATTTCTATAAAAATAATTATACAAAGGTGAATTGTGTTCGGATAAAAATAATAAATTCAGTAATAAATTACTGTCTTAAATTTTATATGATTACAAAATTACCCTTTAAAGAAAAACCATTCTTTTTTTTTTTTAATTAATTGTGAATCAATATATTTTGTTTTGTTAACTTGAATTACCATACTTGAAATTAATTTCAAAATATAATTTTGAACACACTACTATTTGACTTGAGTCTAGTAACCTTTGTGAAAATTATATTGACTCAACTATGAGATTACTTAGCCTACGGGGTGTTAGCAGCTGTTTCCAACCGTTGTTCTCATCCTAAAGGCAAGTTCTTACACATTACTCACTCTTCCGTCACTGGAAACACTACTTTCCATCCGACTTGCATGTGTTAAGCATGCCACCAACGTTCATTATGAATTCATCCTGAACCAGGATCGAACTCTAATTAAGTGTAATTTTGAATGCTAAGTTATTCAACTTGATTGTTGTATCTTCTATTCACAATAAGTACAATTTGACTTCTAAAGTTACTGATTATTTATGCAATGTGACCTCACAAACACCAATAATGACATTAAATCAGGTGGATCAACAGCTTAAGTACTAAAAATGTAAATCCCCTTTTGGTGGGGGATGGGTTATGATGTCATTGTTCTTTCTTATAACATTTTTGATATTCATTAAGAAACCACATCAAACCCACAAATCAATTAATCCACTTGTCCACAATCAAATGAAGACATAAGATAAAGGTGATTAAATCAATTACCACTTATCCATAATAATTAAAGTTGTTCCAAAGATTAAATCAAGTCAAAGAAGCTCAACAATCTTCTAACATTTAAATCATTGTTGAGCCCAGTTCATTTCAACACATCAAACATACTAAACTCTTATTTTCAACAAATGAAGAGCTTAAAACGATGAAGATTCATGAGTAATTTATAATTTCTTTATCTGGGTTTATTCGACCTTTGAGCTCACAGTCTCCAAGAATACCGGTAACAGATAATCTCAACTATCATACGTACTTGTCAAGAAGTTATTTTAGAACCACTATTTAGGCCATTCTTCAAATATACGAACCAAACATATCATTTCCAGATTATTTAGTGCTTTGCTACAAGCATCAAGAATGCACAAGACAATGAAGACAACATGAAATAACAAAACTCGACTGAAATTAAAATTTTATTTGATCTGAATCAAAACTAGTACTGATACCAGAAAGGAAAAAACATAAAAGCTTATGATTTTGCTACAAGATCAAATTCTGGTAATCTACTCCCAAGAAAAGGCAGAAACGTAATTCTAGTTAGGGGATTTTACAAATATGGCTAATTTCATGCTTGCCAATTGAAAAGTGTCTAATTATGATAAATCTTGCAAAATAATCAAATTTGGTATCAAATTGTCTATTATACCCTCAATGAAAAATGCAGCAATTTTTTTTTTTCAATTTGTCAAGAATTTGGAGAAGAACAAATAGCTTCCATGAGAAGCTACATTAATGCTAGCTAATACCTAATTGTTCATTTGCTTTTATTATCTATTAGGTATTGACCAAGAATTTTGGAAAAAAAATGAAGAAGATGAAGTAGAAATGACATTAACACTAAAAAATAATTATATGCTTTCACTTCTTAAGAAAATCATATAACTCATTTCGAAAAATTTAGTCTCATCCAAATTTGCAGTTGATTAGGCTTTCCACAATTCTAGGTAGAAGGTAACTTTTCTTTGAAATCTAGTTTTTGTTGATAAATTGTGTTTACTAGTTGTTATTCTCAATATTTCATAACGTTCTCGATATTTTAAAAACTGTTATCGAAATTTGGACCATATTTATCTTGACACTTCATTTGCTTAGAACGAGATTTCATTCTGAACATGAAACTTTTCTACATTTCATAATGTTTTTGACATTTTGACTGTATTTCTCAATATTTTATAAATGTTTTATTTACCCACTTATAGGAAGAAGTAAACATTTAATGCATGATTGACATGATACTTTTTAAAATAATAGTATAGATTATGTGTCAAGTTATTATTGATCAATACATTTTAAATTATATACATAATTTTATTTTCATTGTGGAGTTTAAAATTGTTAATGAGGTCTATAGTACAGTAAAATGGACATTAAAAAAATTTTGGACATTTTTTTAAATGACCATGTAAAAGTGAACATTTTTTACGATTTCCTCTTCTTTAGTTATTGAAAAATATTTAAATGCCTAGTCTTGTAGTATAAAAAGCAGAACATAAATTAACTGGCAAAAGTACCTGATTTAGTTGGATACGAATTTGACCACGAATTTGAGTCAGTGATCAAGAAACTTCTTTTCGTTGGTTCTCCATTTGCACGGGCCTAGTTTGCCAAAGAGATCTGAATCCATACTGGCATCATAGAGTTAGTTTAACTTCGTCAGAAGGCTAAGAGATGGGACTGCAATAAAAAGTTTTAACAGAAATTTTTGATTTTTCATTGCCCTCTACAGCAAGTAGAAAAAAAATGAAGAAACCTCGGACCAAGAACTATTATTAGAAAATTACAAAATGTCCGAGTACATTAAACTATCACTTAACATCTCAGTTGACACAAAACAAATTTTGTTAACTGATCACTGAAACTAACTTCAGGCATGCAGTTTTGAAGCCGCACCCTTGTCCGAAAACCATGTCAATTTCCCTTGTGGCGTAACCATTTGCACGGGCAGCTTATCAGAATTTGAACCATCAACAAGCGCGTCTTGCACTATGTCAGCTTTACCAGCACCTGCTACAACAAGTGCTATATTTAACGAGGAATTGATAACTGGAAAGGTGAAAGAAATCCTTTCTGGAGGTGGTTTTGGCGAGTTCTTAATAAACGTAACCCACTTTTCATTTTCCTGGCAAATTGGATGTCCAGGAAATGAAGAAGCCACGTGCCCATCGGGGCCCATGCCCAATAACATTAGATCAAATTTCGGGAACCCACTAGCATCAGATTGATCTATTACTTTGTTTTAAACCAAATGCTTGAGACGGGTCTCATAATCATCCACTGCAACCTCAGCTGACAGTGCATCATTTATAGCATATACATTACCAGCAAGAATTGGTACCTGCAAGTGGAAATAGACCAAAAAATAAAGTGTTTTTAAATACTCAATAGTTTCAAAGTACTGTCTTAATTCAGTATTCCATCTACGAAGAGAGGTTTCAAGTACCCAACCACCGACATTTATAATATGTTATGCAGTACCAACGCCTCATCCATACATATCAATAACTTAATGACTCAAACTCTTTGACATCAGAAAAATCATCTCTCAAAATATCAATAACTTCACCTCATCAAGAAAGGGAATGAGTAGGAGTCCTTCCCCTGCGGTGAAGGTTTTCTCTCTTCCACAGTGAAGTTGTCTCTCCTTCCCCGGTGAAGGTTGTTTCTTGGCTGTTTTTTCCGGGCTCGATGGGAGGGAGGGGTGGGAGCTTAGGCTTCCCCCTTTTTTCCCCTTTCATCTAGGGCTTTTTTCCCCTTTTTCCTTTCTTTTTTCCTGCTGTAATTATGTTGTTTTCTTGTGTTGCCCGTGGTTCTGCCCTTTTTTGCAGGTGGAGTTTGGGTGGGGAGGTGGTGTGGTCGGCTGTCCTTTGGTGGTGGCGCTCATGTGTGCTTTGGTCGGTGCGATGTGGCGGGCGAGGTGTGGCTGGAACTGGGAGGCTGGTCTCGGTCGTTTCTAGTCTCTGTGGTCTGAGCAGGTGGGGCGTTACTACTGCTGGGCTTCTCCGGCGTGCCTTTTTGGCTGGTTCTCCAGCGTCGGCGATGGTGGGAGTGGTGGTGTTTGGTGTTTGATGGTTGTGGTTTGGTGGTGTATTGGTTGTGTTTGGTTGGGTTTGTTTGATGTGGTTTGGGTCGGGTGCTGTGGCCGGTTTTTGGGGCCCTGCTTTGGTGGTGTTGTGGTGGTTCCTGTGTTTGGGTGGGTTGGTGGTCGAATGGTGGTGTTGGCTGTATTGGTTGTTTGTTGTTTGGTGTGTGTAGTGTTGTTTTCTGTTGTTTGGATTGTTGATGTTTTTTGTCCAGCTTGTTGGTGCTGCTCCGGTCTCTTTTGGTTCTTCAATCACCGTTGTGGTGAAGGGCTTTCTCAGTATTTATGATTGATGAAGAGCTGGTTTCTGGAGGTTTTAGTATCTGTTTTGGGTTAGTTCGGTCTCGTGTTGTTTGTATTGTCTTTTCTTGGTTGTTTAGGTGTTTGTGTTTTCTTCGTTTGGTTGTCGTGTGTGGCCATCGTTTTAGCTTGGGCTTTGCTTGGGCTTTGGCCTTGGTAGCACGTAATCCCACTTCGGAGGGCTTTGTGTTGAAGGTCTTTCCTCCTTGTACCATTTGCTATTATGATGTTCTATGAAACTTGTTTCATCTTCAAAAAAAAGAAAGGGAATGAGTAAATTCTGGTGCTGAAAATAGAACTGGCTACTTGTAGCACGATGAATAATGCAGTAAACATTACATTAACTACTGCTACTTTTCTATCTAAGCACGAGATCCTTCTTCCATGTAAAATGAAAATTGCAACAGAAAAAAAAAATTATAATTTAGTAAATCATTTTTTTTACCTGAGAGACTTGACAAGAGAACCACCGGACAAAACAACGGTGAAAGAATCTCTATCTTTCGCATAGGGGCTTTCATTTAAAAGGCGTTAGTTTATAAAGATCAACATCTATCTTTTTTAGCTAGATAGTCTAAACATACAAAGAAATGAAAAATAGAATTTGTAAATTACTAAAATGTCATTGTAGGTAAAAAATGCATTAATTGCCCTAATTCCCATTTCAATTCTCATTTAGTTCTAATTGAATTTTAGTTTTCCTTTCTTTCACAACCAGCTTCGACATCTTCTATGAATCCTTTTCATTTTCTTATCATCATCTTCTCTACTTCATTTAACCATAAAATCTATATTTTCATTCCTTTGAGCACTCATTTGGTTGAAGTGAGTAATCAAATCTTATAATATTCTTGTTGAGCATTTGGAGAAGAAGAAAATGTATTGTTAATTTTCCATATTTGGGCTTCTTTCTTTCTCCATTTTTCTGAATAATTTCTTCGTGTAGTTGTATGTGTGTTTATGGTGTTCATTTGACAATGATGATTTTGAATTCATTTTATCAATGGATTAGAGCTTTGATATGAGTTGCTTCCCAACCTATTTTTTCTATTAGTTAAAGTGAAATGTACGTTGGTAAAGACATGCTTGGCTATTCTATCTGTTGTTCTACTATGAAATATAGATTTGATTTTCTGCTATATAAAAACGACTTACATATCGTTTTTTGCACACCATAACGACATACATATCGTTATCAGTACTGTACGAAAATTTAATATTTGATGAAATTTTAAATTTTTTATGTTAAATTACAATTATGGATACATTGAATATAATATGGATATTAGTTTGCTACCTAGTTGAATATTAACAACCAATTAAATGTGCATGAAAATAGAAATATGCAGGGAATGGCAAAGGAAAACAACGCTTATTCTTATTTCGAAAACAATTTCTTGTGTGAACTTTGTGTGAACTTGTATGATAAAGTCAAAGAGATGTTGAAGATTGGTACAATGCTATATGTTGACACCGACCTCCGCGGTCACTTAGTTCGGATTGGTGTACCCAATAAGGGGATAATGATGTGAGCTCGGATATGCGAGGTCAGTTCGGGTTTTGAGTGGCTTACTTAAGAAGCTTGTGTAGTCCTTCAAGGTAAAATAATGAATAATGATTAAGAATCACTGACAGGATATACGAGCTACCCATCAGGAGGATACACATGGAAAGATCTTACATCAGAGCCCACATTATCCTCCAATCAGAAATCTTAGCCTTCCTTCCTAAGTAATGCATTAATTGCTGCAGACCACCTGCACCAGTAACTCATGATCAACTGATGGAGCCGAACTCGTCAACCAATCATATTACGCCAACATGTGTACTTATTTAGCTCGGTGTTGCAGATTGACGTGACAGGAGGTACAATGTGCATGCGTTACCCCACTATAAAAGGAGAATGGGAGGGAACGAGAAGAAGGGAACACTTTCTCATTCTCTTCATATTTCAAATATCTCCTATAATGGGAAAAAAAAAGTATGATTGTGTAATAATCTTGTAATCCATTGGTAAAAGATCAATCAATTTCGTGTTTATTCCCTAAGTTGGCTTGAATATTGTCTATACATTTTTCAACATCCACAGTTTGGCGCTAGAAGGAGGGCCCCAACTTGTAAAATAGCCACATCTCTTCACAAAATTCATAAAATAGTATCATGGACGAATTTTCAGTATCTGAAAATCAATCCCATACCCATCCCGAACAGACCAACGATCCAAGAAATCCTGAAACACGAGGTCAAAGTGAAACTATCCATCCTCAAATGGCGACAATGAAGGAAGTCATTGAGAAATTGACAAACATTGTCAGTAAGCTGGAACAAAACCAAGCTCGAAATCTGCCACAGGATAGCGAGGTGGAATCTCCTCACCGAGAAAAAACCAGGAGACTTTCCACTAGAAGGACCCTACATGAACTGAAGAAGTCAAAAGTTCTCCTATGGCAACATAACCAACAATCAGAAGAATAAATAGTGTGTTCAACAGATTGGGCTCCAAACACTCTCTTACACCTACAAGTAAGCATGACAAGCCCCGTAACAACCACCCTGTGGGACGACCAGAGTCCGAGATGAGTGCCCTCAAGAAATGCATAACTGACCTAAAGGCTAAAAACAAAGGAAACACAGAAGAGTATCTTACAAAACGTCACTCACCTTTTACTGAGGACATCCTAGCAGAACCACTGCCTGAAAAGCCGAAGATGCCACAGCTGACTGGGTATGATGGGCAAGGAGACCCCCTCAGTCATTTGGACAAATATGCCTCTTGGATGGAGCTGTAGGGAGCTGGAGACACCATCATGTACCGTGCTTTCCCTTTAACCTTAGGAGACAAAGCTCAGCGATGGTTTAGAAGGTTGCATCAAAGATCTATAAAAAGTTGGAACGACTTCGCTACAGCGTTTCTCGCCCAGTTCATGGGATCAAAGGCGAGGACTACACCAAATGAGAAATTGGTAAGCATCAAAACCAAATCACTCAAGAGCTATTTGAATAGGTTTAACAAATAATCTATGGAGGTGGAGAAGATCTTAGACGATGCTGCACTTATTGCGGTCCTTTCGGGGCTGACGCCAAAAACAAGATTTTGGTAGTCTATTCACGAAGATGGACCTTGGGCATATCACGAGCTCTTGGGCCGAGCTGAGAAATATATAAGTGCGGAGGAAGCTACATCAGACTAGGAGGATTCTAAGCAGGGTCCTCAATCCCCATAATGAATTAAGGGAAAACAAACAGATAAGGACTTAAGTTGGGAAAAAAGAAGGGATAGAAGGAATCATGGTCGCTCTAGGCCGTATCCCGACAAATTTCGCGAATATCACCCCCTGAACGCAACCTTGGAAGAAATCTTTCTACAGAAGAAGGAAAAAGAAGCCTTTTGTCGACCTCCACCCCAAAGGAAAGAAGTAACTGGGAAAAATCAAGGAAAGTACTGTCGTTATCACAGAATGACAGGGCACAATACTGACAACTGTAGAAATCTGAAGGAAGATATGGAGTCACTTATCCGACGAGGTCACCTGCAGAAATTTGTAGCTAAACCCCGAGAACCAAATCTAACTGGGTTCCAACAGCCTAATCCGCAAGGGGCAGCTCAACAAGCTCGGCCTAGATCCCAAGCTCGCGACCCACAACTTCCTGCCGAGATTCGAACATTGATGAGCGGGAATCAATGCCTTGAGGGCTTACGAAGAACTAGGCACAGATTAGCACGTGATGCCCGTATTTGGCAAAACTACAGTGTAATGTGTCCAGAGTCGGAGGCCGTCACCTCACTACACCTAGAATGGTTCGGA